TGCTTAGAGTCAGTAATTGTCTCATTTGTGTTTATACACTAAATGTCTACTGTATGACTTGGCACACAGTAGATAAATGATTGTTGAATGATGAAAATGGCTGTTCAGTTGCCAGATAGTGAAGATATTTAAGAATGTTGGACTATTTAGAGGTTGGTGGTATTTTTTAAACTAGACCAACAGATAATTCCTTCCATATGTCATTTGGAATTTTTTCTCATTATCTGCACAGTTTAAGATAAAAATGGTTGAGTAAAGAGCAGAGGAACAGATGATGACACATAGCATTTTGATATGCTTTGGCTATAATACAAGATTCTCTTAATGTGAGTAGGGAAAAAACTGCTTTGCAAATGTGTTATATATCCTTCTGACTTGGTCTTTAACCTTTGCCAGATTTCATAGACTTCCTGTTTGAAGTGCCTAAGGAGGCAACAGCTCATATCTTTATTGCACTAAATTTATTAAAAGGCATACAGCCTGTTACTAGTGATTAGAACAAGCTCCAAATTTTGTTTTAGTAGGTTTAGGGACTTTTGCTTAAAACAAATCCCTCTTTCATTATCAGAAACACTGAGATTTGCAAAATAGAGACTGTAGTATAGAAGCAATGTAGTTGGGCTCTGAGAGGTTCCTGTCCTTTTAGATGGCAGGTGAAAGATACTTAGTTTAATATAAGGCCTATAAGTAGGGGAACTGGATTTCATATTTTGAAATTAGCTTCCCCTCATCCCCTTTTGACATTTCCACTGCTTTATCAACTACTGGTCTTCTATATCTATAAAGGTTTTTTGTTCATCAAAGCTTCCTTGGTACCTAATTCTTGCAGTGACATAGGCCAGTGTTCTTGAGCAGCCATTTCTAGACAATAAGGCATAGATTGTTATTACCATTTGTGTTATTAAACAGGATGAGAATTTTATGTTGATTTGTTTGCCTTCATAGCATCGTCACTCTTTTACATAATCCTTATATCAGAATAATCTAGGAATGGTGGCCTGACAAGGATGAGATCAAAATGCCATAATTCTACTATGCCATATTAATGCTATAATGCCACTGGCCTCAGTTACACTCATTTCATATAGAGTGGTCTCTTTAAGGGTATTTTATGTGAACACTGGCAAAGTTTTCATAACTCAACTCTTATTCCCTCATAGCTTTTGCACATTTCCATGCCAGTGTAACAAGAGCACCTGAAGTAGTTGGTAAATCACTTTTTAATGACTATCTCATTTTTTCACAATATTAATGCAATACACATGGTATGCTGTATCCTGTTGGCAGTTTCAAGTGGAAACTTTGATAAATTCTTTTCTAGCTGGCTTGTGAATCTTACGTAATAAAAATTGCTAACTTTTGTTGTTTTCTATTCTAGAATGTAACTACAAGTACCATGAAATGACCTTGTGTCTATTGCGGTGCAGCAATATAATTGAGACAAAAGTTCCTGAATATTAAACAATTTCTTTTAATTGCTTATTCTAATAACAAACATGATTTTCCAGGAATGAATGTACCTGAAACAAGGGCTTTCTTTTTTCTGTAATTTTACCCCAGAGTGGATTTGTTCAATAACATAACTTTACCTGACGTTATTTCATTGACCTTTTGCCTAGAAATGCAATAGCAGCTGGAAGTGGTTAGAAATTATTGCTCTGAAAATCAGAAGTGACTAGATATTTCTAATTAGAAAGATGAGCCACAGAGGTAATGGGACTTACTTTTTAAGAACACAGTGTGTCAGGTGCCTAATAGATGTATCATCGTGATATAGTATGTGGTAGAGCAGAGTTCTTAGGAACATAGCCTTTGGTAATACACATATCACCAATCATGCTAAAACAATTTCTGTAGCACACACAGTATTTATATATGTGTAAGGGCTAATGCAAGATGCTACTGAGGTTTACTTCTCTGTAAGCAATTGGAACCATTTGCACAAACGACTTTAGTCAACTACTTTTTGAGTTTTATCCAGACAGAGAAAAACAGATTTTAGTAGTAGCAGATGTGCATGGCCTGATGTAAAATATTGTTTTCCTGTAGAGATGAATCCATGTAGAGGACAAACACAAAGAATATGACCCTGCAACCTGAATTAATTCTACTTTTAATTCTAGTAATTTGTTGTTGTTGTTGTTGTTTACTTTAATCTCAGAGTCTCAGAGAAACTTGGACATTGGCTTTTAATAAACTGCTATCTCAGATCCTTTCTTGCTCAAGTTTGTCTGGGAATTTCATCCAGTTTTTATGTGAGGGGGAGTTGAAGGCATTTCAGCAAAGCAAACAGCTGAATGATGTGTCAGTTAAAACTTGAAATGTTTGTTTTAGAAGCATTTTTGGATATAATAAAGTCTATCAAAATAACAAAAGTTCAACTAGAAAGACCTTAAAATACATTGCAAAAGAGGATTGCTTTATATATTGTCTTGAGAAGCCAAGAACCATTACAGATGCTTCTGAAGTCCACACACATATTGAGTACTTCAGCCAAAGTATTATCCCTAAAGCAGAGAATCATCATCACTAGGAGAGGTGACACTAGAAGACAAAAATTTGGTTGGAAAACTATTCCAATCTTGAGTCAGATGCTCTTCAAATTCTAAGCACAAAATCTTTTCTAAGAATAATTGGAGTTAAAGGAGTGTGGGATTCCATTCTTAGGTTTCGCTGGTACATTTCCCTAAATCAGGACAACTTTAAAAGTATAGGTTCTGGTGGGTGCAGTACCTATAATCTAAGAACTTCGAGAGGGCATGGCAGGCTTATCGCTTGAGCCCAGGAATTTGAGACCAACTTAGGCAACATAGTGAGACCCTATCTATATAAAAAATAATTTTCGAAAATTAGTGAGCATGGTGGCATGCGTGTGTGGTCCTGGCTGCTTCAGAGGCTGAGGCAGGAGGATGGCTTAAGCCTAGGAGATCAAGGCTTGCAGTGAGCCGTGATCGCACCACTGCACTCCAGCCTGGGCAAGAGTGAACCCTTGTCTCAAAAAGGAAAAAAAAAAAATGTGTGTGTGTGTGTGTGTGTGTGTGTGTGTGTGTGTGTGTGTGTGTGTGTGTGTATTCCATATATACATATGAACTAACAAAGAACTTCATTTTGACAAGAATGGTGCTGTTTGCCTTCTTATTAGGTAAATATTTTTATCTCAGTTTAATATTAACTGCTGATTGGTGAGCATACTAATTACCTGCCAAAATCTAATTGATCCAAGAACACAGTATATATATGGAACATGTATGCTTTTTGCATTTTGCTATTTATCAGTAATCTCTTAGGATGCTTACTTCACCCAGTGAAATTCTGGGCATGCAGGGTCAGGAGTTAGGCCCGCACTTTTGAATCTTTGGTTCAGTAGTTCCCAAGTCAGACTGTGAATATCAACCACCTGTGATCTTACACCAGCTGTATTAATTTATATTCTGAGATATTGTATGGCTTAGACATTTATATTTTTAAAAGTGGTATAAGTGATTCTGATGCATAGCCAACATTAATAAGGACATTGGATTTTCATGGGGATTTTTATATGACATACAAAGTTTTGTGATAGTTTTGATATAATATGGTAATTAGTAAGATCTCTTTTAAATTTCCGAAAGTTAGGGATGAGAGTATAAGTATGTATGTGGACATGAATGTCTTTCAAAATAACTCATTCAGTATAAATTGATTAAGGGCCTTCTCTGCCAAGCACTTTGCTGGGTGCTAAGGATACAACAGTGATCATGACATGGTCCTTGCATTTGAGGAGCCTTTAATTAAGTCCTAGAAACTGTTACATATGCATTGAGAGTGTTCAAAAGGATTGGCTAGTTTATAGGAGAGCAGACGATTAGGAGGAGCCTCCTAGGAGAACTCTGACTTGATCAGGACAAAATCATTTTTTGCCCTATTAGGATAGAGGGGACAAGGGAAACAACATTGCACATGGTTTGAATAATGACACAGGTTTGTAGACAACTCTTCAAATGGTTTAAATGACAGGAGCACACAGGCCAGGCTGGTATCAGAGAGGGGAACAAGGGCCGGCACTTAGATGCATTTGTATATCATTTAAGGAATTTGAATTTATTACATGGATTGGGGATCCCTTGAAGAGTACTCAGGAGTTATATTATCAGGCAGAAAAAACATCACTCTGGCAGCAGCATGAGGGATGGGTTGAAAAAGTTAAAACTTGAAGTAGCAAGGCCATTCAGGCAACTATTGCAATAGTCTTGGCATGAAATGATACATTGAGGCAAGATTGCCCAGGGCTTTAACATTGAGATTATTTAAAAAATAAATTGCCTTGTGGTAGTGATGTCCTGTTTCTTTGTTTACTGGTTGAAGACTCAATTTTTATAGATAATGCAGAATAGATTTATAAGCCAGTTTAGCTGCAAAGATTATTTTGGCCAAGGGTCACAGCTTTCTTACAGAATGTAAAATATTGTTGCAATGAGACTTTTTTAAAAAGTTGAATGGTAACATTATTATCATAAAGGATATAAAAGGCTGACATTTGAAGGCAGTGTCTCATTAACTCAAACTTAAAAATTACAAGCAACTTAAGAGACTGCATTAAACTCAGCTGCCTAGTTCATACAATTACTCTTGACCAGTGCTGTGTAGCAGAAATATAATGTAAGCTACAAATAACAAGGGATATATGTAACTTTGAATTCTTTTAGTAGCCACATTAAAAGATTAAAAACGTGGCTGGGCATGGTGGCTCATGCCTGTAATTCTAGCACTTTAGGAGGCTGAGGTAGGAGGGTTGCTTGAGCCTAGGAGTTCGAGACCCACCTGGGGAACATAGTAAGATCCCGTCTCTACAAAAAATTGAAAGATTAGCCAGGTGTGGTGGTGTGTGTTTGTGGTCCCAGCCACTTAGGAGGCTGAGGTGGGAGGATCACTTGAGCCTAGGAGGTCGAGGCTGCAGTGAGCAGTGAGCAATGACTGCCACTGCAGTCAGCCTGAGTGACAGTATGAGATCTTGTCTCAAAAAAACAAAAATGAAAAAAAAAAAAAAGAAAAAGAAAAAGATACCTCAAACAGGTCAAACTGCCTATTAATTGTTATAGTTTCAGTATGCGAAATAATCCTAAATTTTACTTAAATTTTGAAGTAGAAGCGGTAAGAGCACATATTTTAGGCACAATATATTAAAAAGCCTCTGAACTTTAAAGGTATGTGATGATTTAAGATTGAGAGTCTCAAGAAATCATAGATTATTAGTATTAAAGATCAATAGTATGTTCATTGCAGCACTGTTTACAATAGCAAAGACCTGGAACCAACCCAAATGCCCATCGACGATAGACTGGATAGGGAAAATGTGGCACATATACACCATGGAATATTATGCAGCCATCAGAAACGATGAGTTTGGGTCCTTTGTAGGGACATGGATGAACCTGGAAACCATCATTCTCAGCAAACTGACAGAAGAGCAGAAGATCAAACACCGCATGCTCTCACTCATAGGCGGGTGTTGAACAATGAGAACACATGGACACAGGGAGGGGAGCACTACACACTGGGGTCAGTTGGGGGGAAATAGGGGAGGGAGGGTGGGGGGTGGGAAGCTGGGGAGAGATAGCAAGGGGAGAAATGCCAGATGTAGGTGATGGGGAGGAAGGCAGCAAATCACACTGCCACGTGTGTTCCTATGCAACAATTTTGCATGTTCTTCACATGTACCCCAAAATGTAAAATGCAATAAAATAAATAAATGGGAAAAAAAAAAAAAGAAAAAAAAAAAAAAAAGATCAATAGTAGGTGGCTGTATAAGCCAAATCATCTTTGTTGAACTGTTTTGTTTTTGAGTGCTAACAGCTAATTATATATACAAGATGGTCACAGCACTACTTAAGGGTATTAGAATATTCAGGCATCTCATAACCTTCAGTACTTTTATAGAAGAGGGAAGTTTTATTTTAAATAGACACTAGAAAATGCCAAGCTTTTGAATACCAACTCTTCTAAGCTCACATTCAATTACAGGTCTTGTAAACAATGAATGAGTCAAGTTCCGGTAAAAAAAATTAAAGTGATAGTTGTCATATGTGTGCTTTCCCTGTTTAACAGATGCCCATACAAAATAGGTAGAGTTGATGAAACCAGGGCTGGAGTTTTGGCAGGTAAAAGACAAGTAAGGGTAGAGTTTTGCAAGAGTGATTATTGTTAATGGGCAGATGGTAGAATCCAAGCCAGATAATAAGGGAAGTCATAAAAGACTGAAATGAAGAAATAGTGGGGCCAAAGGATAGAAGTCCAATGGGTTTGAAGGATTTTAGAGCTGTAAAAATAGAAGGCAGAAATACAATATGCTTGAAAACAAGATTTCAGAGGTATGTGGTTATCTGACGAATACAATGTGTAGGTCTTATGTTGTAAGTGGGTTGCTGAGATGAGGTGGAGATGACATACATTGCAGATAGTAAGTCAGGGACCTACAAAAGTTATTGGAAATTAAGTCTTAAGAATGTTCTAAGTATTGGAAGGCAGTGAGCATGGTGCTGTAGTCCACAGTGAGAAAGAGGAAGTAATCAGGAGATGGGTTGGGTCAGACATTCTAAGTCAGAGGTTCTCAAGTAGGGGCACTTTGCCTAACAGGGAACATCTGACCATGTCTGGAGTCATTTTTGGCAATCACAACTGGGGATGGAGGGTGTGTGTACCATGTACCAGTGGCATCTAGCGAATAGTGGTCAGGGATGCTTCTAAACACACTGTAATGCACTGGACAGCTCTCACAACAGAGAATTATCTGGTCCAAAATGTTAATAGGTGCTGAGGTTGAGAAACCCTTCTTTAGGTGTGTTAGGTATCAGAATTAATGGAAAAAAGTACACATTAACAATAAACATTTATTCACTAAATAAACCATTTTTTTTTGCATTCCTAATTAATGGTTACAACACTCTTCTAGGTGTTTTAGATTCATCAGTGAACACAAAAAAGATCTCTGACCTGGAATAGCTTTTACTAACACAGGGAGGAGAGAAAATAAACATAATAGATTAGTTTTTAGAAAGTGGTGCTTAAAAAAGGAAAATAGAGCAGATAATATTGGGAGTGTTGGGAGCACAAAGAAAGATGGGTTGCAATTCTAAATATGAGGGTATCAAAGTAGGCTTCACTGAGGTGACATCTGAATAAAGATTTAAGAGGTGAAAGGATAGAATGAAAATATGTTGATCTGAAAGTATTGTTTGGATTTGCGTTCACTTTAGAGGGAAGGGAACAAGTTTAAGTCTACCTTGCAGGAGTGAAGTGGGTTGTACTAAGTACTGTGAGGGATACGAAGTTAGATCAGACAGTTTCTGCCCTTACAGAGCTTAATGATGAACTAACAATCTTGGAAATAACAGAGCAACAAAAATGGCAAACACAGGACAATGATTTTGACCTATACTATTTGTTCCTGTTTTGATCCCTTTTCATTTGGGAAATGACAGTTAATGATTAGTATTTTCCATTCATCTTCCACATTTGCTCCTTGGAAAACAGCAACCTAGATTGGGTCAGATAAATGGAAAGAAAGGTTGAATTTCCAAAAGGGCTGATGATTTGGAAGAAAGGCTTTTATCTTCATTAGTCTTCCTTCTTGACAATGAGTAATTTTCAGTATCTGAAGCTCAAGTTTCTCATTAGTACTTTCTGCCTCTCAGGTATGGCAACAGCACTAGGAACTATGCTGTTCGGGTTGGGGATTATCATACTCTGGTACCAGAGGAGTTTGAGGAAGAAATTGGAGTTCAAGAGATTGTGATTCATCGGGAATATCGACCTGACAGCAGTGATTATGACATAGCCCTGGTTAGATTACAAGGACCAGAAGAGCAATGTGCCAGATTCAACAGCCACGTTTTGCCAGCCTGTTTACCACTCTGGAGAGAGAGGCCACAGAAGACAGCATCCAATTGTTACATAACAGGATGGGGAGACACAGGTAATGCATAATCAAAAAACAAAAAAACAAAGCAAGGTACCTTTTTTTGTCTGGTATTATCCACTTATTTGGGCCTGTAATAGGTAAGATCTTAAATGGGCTCAGGCTTATTTGGAGAAATTCTGCTTAGTGTGAAATGCATGCATGTAATTGAGATTCATATTCCGGAGGTATTGCTGGTTCTGAGAACTGAGAACTCAGTTTCTTCATAAACCGAGAATTCAAATTCAGTGAAGTAGATGAATATGAATGGATGTGCTAATGCAGAACCAGCATTAATGCATTCTATGCTTTTAAATATACAGAATTCAAATATCAAAGCCTGCAGAAATGTGCTTTCTTTAGGTCACCTTCCTTCACAGACAAATCCAAATGTTATTCATTATTCTTCAGTTCAGTACTGAGAGGTAAATTTGTAGAGGTTAAGACTGTGTCATCGTTAAAAAAGGCAGCTAACAATAGTACATACCATCTAGTCATTGCTCATTTTACACTAATGCCACAACAGGGATTTTCATTACTATTACATGCTAACTGTTAAAATGTTGTGATGGTTAGCTCAGATGCCACTAATCAGATGTTTGGTTTGAGTAGGACAAGCCTATTCAAGAACACTACAACAAGCAGCCATACACTTACTTCCTAAGAGGTTTTGTGAAGAACGTTATAAGGGTCGGTTTACAGGGAGAATGCTCTGTGCTGGAAACCTCCATGAACACAAACACGTGGACAGCTGCCAGGGAGACAGTGGAGGACCGCTCATGTGTGAACGGCCTGGAGAGAGCTGGGTGGTGTATGGAGTGACCTCCTGGGGGTATGGCTGTGGAGTCAAGGATTCTCCTGGTGTTTATACCAAAGTCTCAGCCTTTGTACCCTGGATAAAAAGTGTCACCAAACTGTAATTCATGGAAACCTCAAAGAAGCATTTAAACAGATGGAAAACTTTGAACCCCCGCCATTAGCACTCAGCAGAGATGACAACAAATGGGGACTGAGATCCGTGTTTTTGCTTTGTTTTGTGCTGGAAAAATTGTGTACCTCTTGCTGCTTGTGAGAATTTGTATTGTGAATATTTTCAGAGACTCATTGTAGTAGAATAGTGATAACCCTTAAATGAGCATCGTTGTCTACCCAAATTTCACTGGAGTGACTTATTCTAAGTCTCATCTATCCGTGCCTGTTTTCTCAAAATCATTCTGTGCTCATTTCACAAAAGGTCATTTTTACATTTTGGAAACCAGTATCCTTAAGTACCAAGAGCTACAAAAACCATAAAATATTTTCTGCCTACAGTGTATAAACTACTAGCAAAATTTGAAAGGATTTCTGGTTAACGAAGTGCCAGCTGGACATACAGCCTAGTTTATCCAACACATTAACGTATCTACTATATTCATTTTTATCAAGCACTTCAGATTTAACTCAGAATTGGTCTAAGAGTGCCACCTACTGACACTTACTTGTAAGTCACTTGCAGACCAACCTGATACAATCCAGTCTTAAAATACACTAGTCAAAATGCTTTCCTGGCGTTTACACTGGAATAGTAGCTTTGAATTGTTTTAATGCACAAGCAATTGTATGCCAGGCACTATATTAGATGGCTATGCACATCACTGACAATTTGCAAAAGGCCAGTATGATCTTATAGCAGCAGCCCTAGTTTACAAATAGGGGAAAACAGACTTACCTCAAAGTGAGACCAGTTGGTAAAACATTGATTCATAACTCCAGAAAAAGGAGTCCCAATGCTGGATTTTTTTCCCCATGGCTCTCCCACCTAAGGATTGTTTCCCTATGGCTATTTCCCTAAGGTTTAAGGGATGGCTGCTTAACCCTTAGAGAATTAAACTATGCACTTTTATAGGACATTCTCAGCAGTAATGCTCATATTTAAAAGGCACACTCAAGATACTTCAATGTCATGCATGGATACTTCCCCAGGTCCCTAGTATAAATATATAGGTTAGCATGAACTTTCAGATGGTTTTAAGTAATCCTCTTGAATGCCAGTCACATAAGGACTTTGCCTTTCTACATCAAATTACATCCTTTTCACAAATCCCCATTTCTGTAATAAGTGGTGCAAACCAAAAGGTGCTTTATAGTTTTACTACTCTGCAGACCTGCAACGCTGCATATAATGCAGAAGAGCATTAAAAACTTTTGTAAAAACTTAAGGACTCTGATAAACTTTTAAAGCAGCATTTACATGTAAATAGAGCTACACATGGCACACACTTGCACAAGGGCTTGGGAAGAATGTGCAATATAGGTGAGAAATAAGTCTATTGAAATTTTCTCACAGGCTGCCCTTGTAATTAAACTACAGGTGCTGGTGCAAGCAATATCTATGTTTCAAGTCAATCAGGGACTAAACCTAAAAGGCAGTAAACAGCCTGCAGTTTACTCAACCCTGAATACATGGTTCATATAGCATGCTTTTATTATAACCACTGTCTTAAGTGTGACTTTTGAAAGATACAAGTGTTCTGTGCATCTTTGTGTAAATAAAGTACATAATTTTTCACCTTGTATAGCTGCTTTTTTTGTTTGTTTTAGAAAGACTCTGCTGTCTCCCTTGGGGGTAACCTAGTCCTTTTTATCTTTTACATTTTTCACAAAGGCTGCAATAACCTTAGAACTACACTCCTTCACACTACTTCCACATGAGTGGGTAACATTAGGAAGTATTCTGCTTGCTATTAAATACCTTTCCGTCTATTAATCACTCAGTCAAGTAACAATGAGTAACCACATAAAATTATGCATTTTATTTAAGGACCACCTTAAATATTACGTTAAAACATTCAGGCCTATATTGAAAATGGGCGTCCTGATAACCTCCACAACATCATTCGAAACATCCGTTTCACCAACTAAGATAAATCCATTGCAGGATGCTGAATAGACTTCACCCATTACCACTTCTGATTTCTTGAGTCTGCAAAAAGAGAAAAAAAAAAAAATATGAAACCCAGACCTGTGTACTTACCTCACTGTTTTGAGATCTTATCAGTTAATTCAGTTGGCTGTTAACCGTTAAACTACAAAAGCCAGCAAAACGGGCCAACTTTAGCATTCCAGCGTCCTAACACTAAGGCAGTTCAGATTAACTAAGGTATATGAAAAAAGAAATGTACCTCATGTTTCCATCATCCATCGTAATGTGTTCAGTTCAGCTTCCTAGAACAATTTAACAACAGTTTAGAAAAGTTTGCCCAATAACCCAGCACCCTCCAGGTTTTTAACAGTGAAGAATGTTACTTGTGCAAGTCAGAATCTGATACCAATTAAATGGTGACAGCTTTGCCAATAAACAAGAATATGCTCTTCCATGGCTAGGAAGGGAGACTGCCACAGCTGACAGGTCCCAAAGATACATGGAGATTCACAATCCAGAGTTAACCAGCAAGCAAACGGCTACAGATTATATTACTCACCATCTGGTGCAAACTGACGGTTCTCGAGGTGCTAAGGCACGAAGAGCGACTAGACTCAAGATGGCCACATGACACCGACGGCCAAACACGCTTCACCGGAGTCCCCGGGTGCACTGAGCCTTTCCCCGAGGGCCCACGGCCCACGCGCGCCCGGGTTCAGGCTCCTGGGCTGCACGTGGCCGCCACCCCACTACCTAATGAGCACTCATGTCCGCGCATGCCTGTAAACCTAAGGGTTGCCAAAGCTGTCCCCGACCTACCAATATCCTGACTGCGCTGCCTTTCAGGTAAGGCTGTAAGTTTTGGCTCAATTATCATTTTAATTTACAAAAGACAACTGCGTGCTATCACCTAATCCCGACGCTTCCCGAAAGTGAAAGGCCGAGGCCTTCTGCGCCGGCTCTCTTATAGAACTGATGACGCTATTCCGGGGGAAGCGCCGCGAGGGGCGGGGCCTATGTTGTTTCACTCCTCGTCCCGCCCAGCTCCGCCGCGGCTCCACCTCCTCGGTGGCCCCCTTCTCTCGGCTTCTTTCTCCCGTCCCCTGCCCGTCATCCAAGTCTGAGCTGGTCTCCGGCACCGGATCTTGACGCATGCGCACACACGGAAGTCCGAAGGTTCTCGCGATAGCGAAAATTCTGACACTGCTCTTGTAGGTCACGTAAGCGAGGGGGGAAATTGTGGTGTTTCCTGTTTACGATATTTATTTTACACAATATTAGAAAAAGCGGCCGGACGCAGTGGCTCACGCCTGTGATCCCAGCACTTTGGGAGGTCGAGGCGGGCAGAATACTTGAAGTCAAGAGTTCGAGACCAGCCTGGCCAACATGACGAAACCCCATCTTTACTAAAAATACAAAAATTAGCCGGGTGTGATGGTAAACACCTGTAGTCCCGGCTACTCGGATGGTTGAGGCGGGTGAATCGCTTGAGCCTGGGAGACGGAGGTTGCGGTGAGCAGAGATCGCGCCACTGCACTCCAGACTGGGCGACAGAGCAAGAATCCGTCTCAAAAAAAAAAAATTAAAAAGGAAAGGATGTTAGACCCTTTGAGCCTAGGTGACACACCCGGTTTTGTGCGCGTGGCTACGTTTTTCACGTCGCAATCTGACCCTGACCCGCTGTTTGCTGCTCACATCTGGGCGCCCTTGGACTCCCGAAAGCAGAACGCCTCAGTCTTAACTCACCCGCTGTACATTGCCTGGAGGATGCAATGAAATACAGCTACCGCCTTTGGAAAGTGGAATTTCCAACCTTTGGGAATAGTCTTATTAGGTACAGTACATGCTTTAAAAAGAACGCTAAATTTCTTTCCTGTTTTGGCTTTCCTCCTGTATGAAATAAAGCAGGTGAAGTTTTTACTTAGTGCTGGATCATTTGGAGCGGCACATTGTAGCAATTGCTGTCAAGGAAAAAAGGTAACAAGACGGGTGAATAAAGTACAGTGGAGATCTACAAAAACTTCATGAAGTCATTACATACTTTTTTGAGTAAATAATTAGAGCGGTAACTGCCGTAAGGGTTGGAATGGACAAGCTTATAGGAGACAAATTTTTGTTTGAGATAATAGAGCTGCTTCCAAGGCTCACCATATTTCACCCCATGTTACTTTGTCTCCTAACACTCCCATTCATTCCACTTGTGAACCGAAAAGAACTGTTCAATAACAAGGCTTTCGTACTGAATCACATGAGGGTGTTCTGCCAAGTTACATTTTATTGAAATCTGAATAATTATCAATATTAGTTGGCTAGGACTCTCATAACAAAATACCACAGACCGGGTGGCTTAAAGAACAAAAACTTGTCACAGTTCTGTAGGTTGGAAGTCTGAGATCAAGGTGTCATTAGCTTGTTTCTTCTGAGGCCTCTCTCCTTGGCATGTGTGTGACAGTGTTTTCCCGGTATCTTCATATCGTTTTCTTTTTGAAACTGTCTCAATTGCCTCTTTTTAAAAGAACACTGGCCGAATTAGATTAGGGCCCACCCTGATGAACTCATTCAAACTAATAACCTCTTTAAAGACCCCATCTCCAAATACAGTCATATTCAGCAGTACCGAGGATAAGGGCTTCCACATATGAATTTTGGGAAGCACAGTTTGGCCCATAACACCATTCATTTATGCTAAGCTAAAAAGTCTGATTGAAGATTTGAAATTAATGTTTCCAATGGCTTAAGGAACATGCATGACAGCATGTGTGCATGCAGGCCTGTGTGCACCCGTGTGTTCTGGCCTTTAACTAGAACTTTGTGTTTTGTCTGAAACTGACTTTAGAAAATCTGTTCTTTTCTACCCCCATATTTTATGATCTTTTTTCCATCTTGACTGCCTTGTCATCTATTTTTATCTGTCAGAATTCTACTCAGCTTTCAGTGCTTTGCTCAAATATCACTTCTATGAAACTTTGGTTACTTCAATTGAATTTGTTTTTTTCTTCTTTTAACATACTATAGTACTTAACTCACATTTTTCTTGTGGTGTCTTTATTATAAACTGTGGTGAAGGACTATGTCTAATTCTTAAAGTGCCTAGCAGAATGACTTTCATTATATGAACAGTCAGTTGCATTACTGAATGCTTTGAAATACTCAATATGTTTCTGAAATTGGAAAGGTTTTATATTTACTTTAAAAAGCCATTTCTCTCCAGAAGATAGAGTTTAATTCCCCTTTCTGATCTTACCACCAACTTTATTGTGGGCTGTGCTTAGTTACCTTGCTTTCAAGGGGTGGAGTACGGAAAGGGGAGAAGGCAGAACTTTGGTGAAAAGAGGCACACATTACAGAGTCCAGGTGATCAATATTTAACATAAACGATATGTCATGTTGATAATGTGTACTCCGTTACCATGTGATGAGGACACCTCACCTCTATGTTATTCTTCCTCAAAGCCCATACCCTAGACTACCCATGAGAAAAAAGTCACACAAAACAAAATTGATGTACATTTTACAAATTACCTAACTAGTACTCAAAAAATGTCTTGGTCACAATAAAACAAGAAAAGTCTGAGAAACTTATACTAGAGAAAATGATACATAATGACTAAATGTAATGTGATATCCCGACTGGGATCTCCAGCAGAAAAAGGGCATTAATGGAAAACTGTTGAATCTGAATAAAGTGTAGAATTTAGTTAATAGTGCCAATATTGATTTCCTGATTGTAACAGATGTACCATAGTATTGTTGACATTAACAGTTGGGGAAATTGAATGAGGGTGTGTGGGGACTCCCCCATACCATTTTTGCAACTTATCTGTAAATGTAAAACAAGGCTTAACTTAAAAAGCTATTATAACTTTACAGTCTATTATACTTTCATTTTAGGACAAAGTAGTGATTTAGTAGTGGTTTCTATCTGCTTTAGTGTGACATTTGTGGCTGAGATGACAGTATTTCTGTTTGACTTGAGATCAAACCCAGTGAATTTAGCTGTATTCAGACAAAGGCTTTGAGCCTTAGGATATTCAACAAATAGAAGAATTAAAAACTGGTTGGTAAATGAAGGTTGGCTTAAGGATTTTATTTTATTTTATTTTATGTATTTCTTTATTTACTTAGAAATATTCTTGCTCTGTTGCCTAGCCTGCAGTGCAGTGGCACGATCTTGCCTCAGTGCAACCTCCACCTCCCAGGCTCCAGTGATCCTCCGGCCTGGTGTGTGCCACCACACTTAGCTAACTTTTTTTTTTTTTTTCTTTTTTTTTTTTGAGACGGAGTTTTGCTCTTGTTACCCAGGCTGGAGTGCAATGGCGCGATCTCGGCTCACCGCAACCTCTGTCTCCTGGGTTCAGACAATTCTCCTGCCTCAGCCTCCTGGGTAGCTGGGATTACAGGCACGGGCCACCATGCCCAGCCAATTTTTTTGGTATTTTTAGTAGAGACGGGGTTTCACCATGTTGACCAGGATGGTCTCGATCTCTTGACCTCGTGATCAACCCGCCTTGGCCTCCCAAAGTGCTGGGATTACAGGCCTTGAGCCACCGCGCCCGGCCTTTAGCTAATATTTTTAAGTTTTTCTTTTTCTTTTTTTGTAAAGACAAGGTCTCACTGTATTGCTCAGGCTGATCTCCTGTGCTCCTGGGCTTAAGTGATCCTCCTTCCTCGGCCTCCCAAAGTGCTGGGATTGCAGGTGCGAGTCACTACTCACAGCCTAACGATTTTAAGGATAAAGTGCAAGGTGAAACTGTTAGAACTGATCAAATGATGGCTAGGTAGTATTTCAATTCTGCTTTTAATACATGGAGTGAACAGTTCATTACAGAATATTTATTCTTCAACAATGCTTTTCCCTGAACTATATCTTTTTTCCTTTTGGGGTTTAGTGTAGGAACTGGTAATCGTCAGAAAAACAAATTTAACATAGAATGGCACACCTGTTGTATGAATGCTGAGATGAATAGGAGGAAATATAGTGAGGAAATAGCCCGTGGACTTATTTTCATCTGAAAACACTTAGGAAACCTAAACTTGCAGTGCATACTGGCAAGAAGCCTCAATTCCTCAACATGTAAATCTCTTTATAGGGCAGCTTGAGTGTCCTCATGATTCTCACGGCAGCTGGCTTTCTTCAGAGTGAGTGATTCAGAGAGCAAGCCCCAGTGCTTTTTATTATGGCCTAGTTTACACACCATCATTTGTTAGAAATAAGTTATTAATGTCAGCTGACATTCAAGGGGAGGGAAATTAAGCTCCATCTTGAGGGGAATATAAAATTTTGCTGCATTTTTTAAAAGTGTCACAGTCAGGATGGGTGAGGTAGTGTTGCAGTTGTAAGTTCCAAAATCTCTGTGGCTTAAAACAACAGAGATTTGTTTCCTGTCATGCTCATGTTCATTTTAGAGACCAGGCTAATGAGGCTTTGACCATTTGTAATGGTTCTAGGCAATATGAGTCAATGGTTCTAGGGAGAAGGGAAAATAGTCATATATATTCCTAAAGGATTTCATTCTGACGTGACGTATGTTACATTGACTCATACTCTATGGACTAAAGCAAGTTCCATCGCCACACCTAACTCCAAAAGCATGGGGAAATGGAATCCTACTCTGTGCTTAGAAGGAAGAGAATCAGAAATATTTCAATATGTTATAATAACACTAATGATTTCTATAGTGGCCAAGTTACAACTTTTTACATTACTTTTTGTAGTTACCTTTCTGTATTGCTACACTGTGTATTAGTCTGTTCTCACATTGCTATAAAGAACTAGCTGAGACTGGGTAATTTATAAGGGAAAGGACGTTTAATTGGCTCATAGTTCCATAGGCTGTGCAGGAAGCATGGCTGGGGAGGCCTCGGGAAACATTCAATCATGGCAGAAGGGGAAGCAGGCACATCCTACGTGGGCAGAGAAGGAGGAAGAGAGAGCAGGGGAGGTGCTACACACTTTAAAGTAACCAGATCTCATGAAAACTCACTATGGCAAAAATACCAAGAGGGAATCAATGATCCA